AAAAATTGCCGTACCTGCCCATCATTCCTTTCTCTTCCATTTTATTTCTGTGCTATACAAAGACACCTGTCATAGCATTCTGTGTAAATTACTACCTCTCCCAGGACCTGTATCTACAGCCAATCTTCTTTTTACACTTAAAAAAAAAAAAAGACAGAAAAAAAAAAGAAAAGAAAAAAAAAACCCAAAACCCGGAAACCAAATGACTACTGTAGACACTCTAAAGTTCCCTGTCAATCGTTTCATTATAGCAGCATCATCTGTTTGAAAATATAAGCAATTCCCTCATCTAATTACAGGGAGGATTTGAGGTTCATTAACATTGCCAAGGCAGAGAATCAGATGTGCAACTGCAGAGCTGTGCTCAGTGGCCTGCATTCTCTGTTTCCTTTTATTTGCTTTTTCAAGGTCTCCAAGACTTTTTCCTGAAACCATAAAAGTAATTCTTTCCTTCAAAATAGACATGTGTGTTTAGAAAAAGGAAATGACTGCATTTTGTACTGTTCTATTATTGGGCAAGGTCACTGGAGAAAAATAATTTCACCTAAATCATTTTATCTCTGATTCTGGATGAAAAAAAAAGGAGTAATAGTATGCAAGGAACTATTAGTTTTGAACAACAGATCACAGGAAATCTTGCATTTGTCTCATAATTTTAAATATTGCAAAGTAATGCAGATGAATAGGAAACCTAACATGCCAAGAAAACCTCTTAATTTTCAACACATTTTGCGGTTGTTTATGGATTAATGTGCTAGCCAAGTGTAAAATGTTGCCTTGTATTTCCTAACTGTGTTTAGAAACTGAGAACACCAAAGTCTTCATGATTGCTTCACTTCCTTAAAGAAATAATAGCATTTTTTTTCTGTATGAATGTAGCTTAAACAATGACATTTTCTTGGGACATCTGTTTTGAGATCACATTTTGAATAGATATGAACTCATTTCCTACTAAGCAAGTAATTTACTATTGTTGATAGTTGTTTACAAGTTTTATGAGTCAGATTTTAGCAAGTGGCAAAGGTCTTTACAAATCCTTTGAGTATTCCCTAAAGTGTATGCATAGTGTTTTCATTATATAAAATGTTCGGGAAGCAAAAGTATAGGGACTGTTCTTCACTTCCTACCAAGTTATAGATAGCAAAGCCTAGCTCACAGAAATAGCTTTAAACATATTTATTTTCAAAGGCTTCTATCTTTTGCTGCTACAGGTTAATGAAGTATGATAGCAGGGCAGTAAGTACTTAAGCAGCAAGGAAATAATTGAGCTGCTCTACCTATCTATAACTTTGGAGTCTTAGATGGTAAACATACAACTGATCCTCATATCATCCTAAGATGTTAATACGACAAAGAACAGAACCCCTTCAATGAAATTTAAAGTTTGACCTTGTCACTCTCTTTCTTTTAATTCTGCAATTAAATTAAAACAAAAAACAACAAAAAACCAAAAAAACCTACAGCATAATCTTTTTTTGTTTGCTGCCATACGGAATCTATTTTTTAAACAAAAACCCAATAATTTATCTATCCTGCATGTTGTATGTAGAATTGCCACTAGAAAGAACCCAGGACATTTTTCCTTCTTATCTGCAATGTAGCTCATATCAGCCAAGCTGTCACAAGACAGTACTTGATATAAACAAGAGATTGCAAAGACATCTCAGTAATCAATATTAGGATGGCTACAGTATGGAAGCCCCAACCACTGCATATCATTTGTCTCAGCATCTATTTCTATGACCAAATGAAGCATTAATTCAAATCATAAATCTATGGTGATTTAAATCTGGGAATGAGCACCTGCCTGCTTTAATGATTTATTTTGTACATTTCAGTAAGCAGGAGATTTGTCCATATGAACTGACAGGTCACCTTCAGATGCCAGTAGCAGACTGTTTATCACCATGCAGACTAGCATCTCATCTTAGCAAGTAAATATTAAACTAAAAGAATCCAATTGATTGTGGATGGGGGAGAAAGGCGTTGCAGCCATATATTTTACTCAGTGTGCTAATACCTCACTCTGATTCCTCTGTAATGTCTTTTTTTTTTTCCCTTTTTCCCCCCCCTTCTAAAATGATAATTCTGGTGGGAGGATGCAAGCTCAAGGTTACCATACAGAACTGAGCGAGATAAAATAATTACTTATTAGTATCATTGGCTTCCTTTAACTCCCTTCACTCACTAACCTTTTGGCCATTGCTTCTAAGGACCAAGTTAATAAATAAATAGTTAGTAAATTTGTGTAGTGCTCTGTATAATTATACAATGGCCATCTACAAAAATGACTTCTATAATTTACATTAAGCATTCGATTAAAACCAAAAAGCAAGACAATTCAGAAGTAAACCTGACAATTCAACTCAAGAGCCCATATTTTATTTATCTTCTTTTACAAATGCATTGGAAGAGCCTAAGGACACAGTATTATCAATTCATGTACCCTAATATACCATAATGCCTGTTACGTATAGGCTAAGAAGTATCAGTTAAGGTTTAGGCTGGTTGGTTAGTTTGTTTGTTCCTTTTCCGTTTGGTCAGGCACATAACGTAATTTAAAATATAAACCAAAATCAGGTTATTTTCTTTTGGTTTATTCCTTCTTCCTGTCAACATTCAGTAACATAATAGTTAAAATTCATGCCTAACAAGCCATAATTTAAAATGTTATTTTTATACGGACTTGATAATATTTATTTGAAAAGACATAAATAAACATCTGAAAAAAATGCAGGGGAAAAAAAGGACACACCTACTACAAAGGTGAAATATGAGTTCTTGTCAAGATAATACAATATGCTAATTTTCAAAAATGCAACTAATAAATGGAGACTTAACTCTTCATGAACCTAATATACCCTGGCATTAGTGGTAGTAGGAATTGCTTCACTGATTCCACAGGCATAACCGACACTGGACACTAGCTAGGGGTCACTATAAAAGAAACAAATAAATGCAAACTATTTTTGAGAAAACCTCCAGAGGAAGAATATAGCTCAAGACCGAAGGCACAGACAAGAACAATGTATTTCCAGAACCATTCCTTGTGGAATGGAGACAACTGGAATCCTCTTCACTCTACTCAGAAAAGCCATTTTTTTCTGAACAAAATGAACTCAATTCTTCATTCAGTTAAAACGGGAAATTAACTGAAGTTAATAAGCAAGTTAAGGGGCTGAGAAGAAATTTTGACAACAAATAATCTCGCTTCGCTAACTTTGCCCTGCTAAAATAGTTAGAACGTATTTTCTTAAACAGGGAAAATGATTAAGCTGTGTAAGAAGAGTGGATAAGTTATCTAAATTATGCCTCAAACTATGATTTCAAAGTAGATATTTTTTTTTGTTATTCAGAGGAAATTCAGACATTCCCTCCATCCACTCTCCACGTGGTTGATGTGTTGATTACCTGTTAACTTTTCCACGTCTGTGGATGTACAAGTGGTTTGTCACTAGTACTGCCAAGCAGAATGACAGTTCCGTAATCCCGTATTTGAACATTTTATTTCACATAATGCATGCCTCTAGGTCTGAAATTCACATCTAAACTAGCTTCTACTTCTAATGAAGATTCTCTATCCTCCCAGTTTGTATTTACACTTTTCACCCTTTCTCATGACTTCACTTTTCTTCCATTATGTTTGGGGCTCCTTCCACTTCATTTGTACCTGTCTCCTCCTCCCAGATTTCAAAGACACCTGCTCTCTACCTGCTCTTGTCTTGTCTCCAAGAGGACAATCTTTCCACTAACATCCTAGTGACTGCACATGTTGGTATGTGAGTACTAACACAACTAATTTAAGACTATTTTCCTTGCCATCACAGAGGCATTTTTTTAAGATTTTCTTTAAAAGGAAACAAAAAAATCTGTTTGTCTCCCTATGCAGTGATGCATACATATTGCTGTTATTTAAAATAGCGCGTGCCTAGGTGAACCTGTTCTTTGAACTGCAATTCACATTATTTCTAAATAATAGCCTACCAATGCTTACCGAACTGTACAGAAATGCTCTTCACAAACACATATTTAGTTATGTAAAGGATAGTACATAACTCTTGACTCATTTCAAATGTATTTAGGAGAATAAAAACTAAAAAATAAACAAAACTAAATAAAAGAAACAAAATAAAAACAAAAAATCCCTATCTTAAACCACTTTTTTCCAATATACACCAATCTTGCCTGCAGTCTTCTGAACGTACCTCTTTGTCATTGAATTTCTGTTGCTGAGTTAATACTGTCTCAACATGATAAAAGGAGCCAATACAATGAAATGGCATAACAAAACATTTTACAGCAGACACACACAGATGATTAAAGATTTAATCAACAACAACAAAAAGTTATTCTAGCTTTGAAGTATGCTTTAGCAAAACAAATTGTCCAAACAAATGAATAAAGTATACAGAAACAATTCTTTTTTGAGAAAGAACAAGAGTTGCTGATGGGTGCTTAAGAAATGGAAAAACCTGTTAACTACATTTTAAGAATGTGTTTATTAAAATAAAATATGATAGGAACTGCAGAGCATGGCAATAATTTATTGTGTATGTATGTTTTCCTTTTGTCACAGGGCACATGAAAGTATGAAATATTTTGCTTTCAAGCTTGTGTTCTGAATTACCTAAAGTCGATACCCAGCACACTGAGCAGGAGACATTGTTAAATTTCACTTTGACACCATCATCTGTCACCCCACCTGTACTTTGAAAAATGAACTCTAAGCAATCAAACCACTTTCTTTCATGGAAAATATTAACTCGAGTCTGCAAAAGTAACCTGCAAAGGAAAGAATGTTTTTGTAATAGTAAAAACAATGCTGAACGCTGGTGTAAAGGTCAGATAAAAAATAAAACTAAAACTAGTAAGGAAAGGAAAACAAATATGCAACTTTTTACACCAAATCAAGGACTTCAAAAGCAAGTCCAGAAGGATAACCTGTTTAATAAAATATCAGGGCATTATGGACATATAATAATGCTGTGTCTGAGACTTACCGACACTTGAATTCAGATCTCCATTTTCAGAGTCTGCTCCATGCTGGTTATTATTTGCATGATAGTTGGACATAGCTTCCAATTTAATTTTTTTCACTTTCATTGCTTCTGCTATGGTGGCGTTTTATTTGCATGATAGTTGGACATAGCTTCCAATTTAATTTTTTTCACTTTCATTGCTTCTGCTAGGGCGGCGTTGGTGGCAGCTGCTGCCGCTGCAGCTGCTGCTGTCAGGCCTGCAAAGAAGTATGAACAAAATTTAATATACATTGTTCTATTATTCTTCATTATTGTAGGGACTAAGACTGTTACTCTTCCTTTATGCCGGCGATGTAATGAACGTTGAACATTGCTGAGTACTATTCCTCTTGTTTGATGTGAAGTTTGCCAACTTTTTCAAGTAAAATGTTTCTGATCATATTTAGATAGTTACTTCTGCATGTCCACCTCAATCTTAACTTGGTATCCCGTAACTGCAGTCATAACACCATCATAACTAACTGAAGTACAAATGCATGCTTTCAGAAATCCAACCTAGCTTTGAAATAGTGTCCTAAGTGGCTATGAATAGGCAAACACGTGCATAACTCTACAACCTTTAGGTCTCAAATGTTTTCCGTGCTAAAGAAAGTAGAAAAAAAAAAACAGGTCTATAATTTCTATTTAAGAGTAAGAGATGAAAGAACTCGGACATGTATTTCTCATTTCACACATAACAGCCAGGAGATGCGGGCATTCTCGGAAGCGCTTTTAGAAGAAAGGTTAGTAATGCAGAACACGGGTAAAATACTTATTTTTCTCTCCCCAAAACTTCAAGGCATTAAGGCATTTATCAATTAGAAGAGGAATTATTAAACCCATTTAATCCCAGTCCCAAGGCATTGGCAGGCAATCCAAGTGCTCTTCCTACCAAACCAAATTTCTGCTATCCAGCCATTTACAAGAAACTTCGACAAAAATGAGAAAAGTTCTCTTTGTCAAAAGCGATTACAGAAATGGTCCAGCAATGCCTTCAAAACTCAAAATTAGATAGTGTCTTTACTCAATGTTATAGGTTTTTGCCCTCTTCCCGGAGGCAGGATAATTTTTCTGTGGTCCCCAAACAGTGCTGCTACCCACTCACATCCCTTTGCTCCAGCCTGGGTGGTAGTGGAGAGAAGTTAGTGTCAACCTTCACAAGAGCTGCCTACCCCACACGACTGATCCAGGGGGCAGAGATGGAAATTAAAGAGAATTCAATGAAAGAAAATAAAGAGAAGGCATTAAACCAGATAAGTTTTACGCAACGATGCAATCTTGGGCCTCAGCCTGTGATGCCACATGAGAAGCATGGACCCTCGGGTCATTTTGAATCAAGATTCTTGCCCTGACCGTGGAGAAGGGTTGAAAAAACTCAATGTAATTAGTTTAAAGGTGCCTGCTTGTCTGATTTTCAGCTACTCTGAGAGGTGTGAAGTGTCTTATGGGTCTCAAGAGGAATTAACTGCACAACTTACTATTCTAGTGGGCCCAGGCTGCTGCCCAGCGTAGGAAGAGTGCAATTTAGCAGGAAAGACCAAATAAGCAAATAATCCCAGGCTGCTGAGGCAAATATTGCTACCACCATTGCTTCCAAGAGCCCCTGGTTGTCTGCTTTGCCTCCTTAAAGTGGAAAATGAGTTCACTCTTGCCATGTTTTCGGCTAGCGATAGGGAGAGACAGAAGGCAAAATCCAGCAGGGAGAAGGCAGAAGGTGAACGGACATCAAGAATCTCTGCCATCCCAAGGAAAACAAAGAGGTGGCATATGAGGTGCCTTTGAACATATATATATACACATAGTGGCTTGACTCAAGGTTGTTTTCCTTTCTTTGCATGACCGCATAAAGATTAGCAAACAGTTCCAGCCTCCCGACCCTCCTCACAGGCTGACTTCTAACACCTCCAAGTGCAATGAGAATTACCAAGTATGTGATAATTACATTCTGCATAGGCAGATCAATATTATTTAGAAAATCACTATTTCAGGTAGAAGAAGATGTACCAAAAGCCAAAAATCAAATCAGAAGGTCAATAAATAGAAGGGTTTAATTTTATTTCGGCTTCTTCTACTATTACAAATTGTGCGGGTTTTGATCTTAAGGTATTGACAATAACATGGATTGCTTCCAATGATATTTTTACCTTAGAGGAAGGATATGAAGTTATACATTATACAAATTTGGTTACAGTCCCTAAATTAGGCTACAGAAAAAGAGATGGTGCACCTCTGAACTTTGGTTTGCATCCTGTGCTCATTAAACAATACAATAACCTATACTTCCTCTTTTTTATATACATCACTGACAAGCTAAAACGAGCATCTTTAAAGAACAATCCTTTGGAGGGATATTCAAATACGATACAACTAATGAATACAACAGCGGGCCTCAAACTTTTGGCTGTGACTGCACTTCCAGACCAGCAGGTTTTAAGTGCTTCCAAAAATACCATATTAAATGGACACTGGACACTGGGCTTGTGAGCCCACCTGTAAATATTACATCTCACTGGGGTAATGACCCGGTCACAGACCGCTAAAATACATACTCTCTTTTGCTACAAAATTTGCAAAAAAAAGTATACTTCAGTGCTTCTCTCCAAAGTAGGCTGCAATGCTTCTCTTTAGAGGAAGCCATAATCTTTGGACAGGGGATGGGAAACTAAAATACAGACTGCTTAGCTCTGTAGCACGATTTTCGCAAGATAATGCTTGCAATAATAAATGATAATTTAAAAAAGCAGAAATTAAACTTCTAATTTCATTCCTTCTCTCGCACAACCGCATAAGTGATTGAAATGATTACTTTGCTATACAGCAATTAATTTAAACTGCACAAATCTGAAATGCGTGTCTCGTATGAGCACCGGTGTGAGTGGGGGGGAAAGGAGAGTATGGAATAATCCTCAGAAATATCGTTTAATGCCGTTCCTCACAGCAATCCCAGCCTACAGCACAGTTTATGCTTTACTGTTACTTTTTCCTATCCCTTAATGATGTAGCAAGGAAGTGCTAAGGAAGGTCCTGAGCCAGTTACTAGAGCCCCTGGCATTATAATCACTGGTGCACTGTGTTATGGTACAAGGCAAAACTTTCTCTCTAGCACAGGGCCTGACTTATGTCACTTATCTCACTAGTAAAGGCAACTAAATATATTATAAATAGAAGAGGCGAATACGCTGCTATGTATCTATATGTATATTTTAAAATTCTAAACGTTAAAGTTCAGCTATAGGTATATACTTGGGTAAATACTCGGGATTTTTTTTTTTTAATTGGTTCTTTGAGACAGCCTTTTGACCTAAATATTATTTAAAATCACTTTACTCTTATAAAAAGCAGCCAAGGAATTTCTAAGGTACACACTTTTTCTACACTACAGAAATATTATCTTCAAATGCGAGAACACCAGAAGTCACCCATTAAGGCAACTGAAATGAAAGAAACAAGGATCACATTGAACAGCCACGTAGATTTTTTTTTTTTCATTCTTTACAAATATTTATTTGAACAGTTAAAAAGTATCCAGGCCAAAATATTAAGTGGGTTAAAGTCAATGGTAGTTGTCATTAATATTCTGAAATTGATAAGTTGTTTATGTCTGGCATTCTTCCTCCTGATTATGCAGTGAGACAGGCAGCTTTATAAATATCTCATCACTCCATCGTCACACAAATTTCATCGACAGTGCTCATGCACAGCTATTAGCAATATGAATCTAACCATTACAAGAGGAAAGAAAATCGAACATGTGGCATTAATACGCAGTCCTGGTTCCTAACCATCTGATAGGCAGATGGTGTAAAGCGGATTCTCCAGCTGAAATGAAGGGGCACATCATTTAAAACCTTGTTTGCATTCTAACTGATATCAGTGCCATATTGATATACATGATACATCATGGCAGTATTTGAACAATCTAGTTTGTTTCAGTCATAAATGTTTACAGCCTTGTTTTTTATCTTTAGAAGCATGTTCTGAAGAGCGTATTTTTAATTTATGAAACCTATTGTTTACTTCTGTTGAACCAGAAGATTAGCGACGAGCAGGAATATTAAATTACCACAACCACAGCAGTATAACTAAGATGGATGAATAAAGTACGGTTTTTCAATAAAAGATGTTAGTAAAGGAATTAAAAAATTAGCCTAGACATTTTATGCATTAAATACATTTATTCATTTAAACCTTACAGCTTTTTTCCCATGTGACATACTTAGAACTTTAATGCTTTATAAAGCTATTCATTTAAATCTCTTACTGCGTGCAATTAATCTTGTCCAACAATTTAATTCAAAAAGCAAAACATCAGAAAGTAAAGTTCAAATCAACCATCACGCTTCTGAAGTAATCTCCGTATTGCTGACAGTTCCTATAGACTCATCAGCAAAAGTCTGTTCAAGGTGTCTTGTAGGAGCCGTATGAATTTGAATTACAGCTCAATTGAAAGCTCTCCAAGCCTTAGTAGGAACTCAGGAACAAGAAGCAGAACACCAAAAGAAAGCGTGAATGATCCTTTCCTACAAAGACCTTCTCTCTTCTGTCACTAGATTACTTTGGCCTGTTGGGGTGTGTTTGTAGCTGTTAATTATGTTAATAAAGTTGCAGCCTGCTGCCTCTGCCAAATATAATCATAAGCTTTCTCCTGCCAAGTTCTAGTCTAATTTACACCCGTGCAACTCTACTGAAGTCAGAATTTCGTGGGTGAGAATGAGACCAGAAGTATGCCCAGTATGTGTGGTCTCTAATGCTGAAAAATGAGTGAATGAAATGGAAAACAATGACAAAAAACCACAGCATCTTCAGAAAACAATTCTGTTTTAAAAGCAAAGCGCCCGAGAGAGCTGTCATATATCATGACAGATTTTCAAAATGTGTACGAGTTACTGGTGGGCACTAAATCACATCCAGGGTTTCTGCTTTCCAACAAATACTATTCCCTGCCTTAAGAGAGAGCTCCTAAAACTTTCAGTTCTGATGGCATGAACAGCTTATAACACACCCTATTTGTGAAGGAAAAAAGTAAAGGACATATGAGTGCAACTTTTTCAGCCTTAAATACGTCTCAAAATACACATTTTTGAATTGTATGCCTAAATTTGGTCCTGGAACAACGTACAAAATTATTTAAGTAATTGATCTTAATTCACTTTTAACTTCCTTCACATAACTATGCCTAATAGTAATTATAATTCCTAATAGTTATTCCAATAAATAA